TGCCACCACTTTCCCCTGCCACCCCCACTTCCCACCCTCAATCCTTGGTGCGTAAGCTTTCTACATTTAGTAAGTTTGGGGCACTTGTTTAGAGCATTTTGGTATAGAGAGATCAGTGTTAATAAATCACTACTATTTAGACAGCTTCACAGCCATGATCCAAGACATTTTACCCTCAGAAGAGAAACTGTGTAATTCACTGAGAAAAAAACAAACACTAAAAATTAAATATAAGGTAAATACCTATTATTGACAGAATAACTAAAATAAGTTATTATATAATGACAACACGGAATACGGTTCAGTCATTGTAACAATGACTTAGAGATATTTACATAAAATATTCCTTAACAAGAAAAACATCACATAGAAAAGTATATATAATAACTACCCCACTTTTTAAAAACAATGACAAAAAGCACCTGTTCATGCATGTTATTTTGCATGCATGCATGCATGTGCATATATGTTCATATGAGCACAGAAGAAACTACGGAATCATACACACCACGTTGTTAACATTGGGTTGACTGTGCATAAGGATAGAGTAATATGATGCAAAAGGAAGGAGAAGGAATAAAGCAATTTACACAAAAAAGGGGGGAAAGTCACTTAAACTTACATATGTAATATAATCATATTTATGCATTAAAAAAAGAAAAATATCAACTCCTCCCAATGTTCGAGGAAATACAAAATATTGGAGGATAAGATCCACTGAACTCTGTTCTTCCGTGAAAGCAGGAAAAAATTATCAAAATCAAATCTTCCAAAACTTTGGTACTTAACCAAAAACTTGCATTTTTCATTATTCAAGAAAATTGTCTGGATCACAGTAAGAACTATGAGCTTTGTAGCATTTTAACTTGCCTTTTAGCTCAGTTCTGTATAACCTTGAAAAACCAATGGGAAACAGAGTAACTATGAAAACAGACAATTTAGGAGGCAATGGAGAGGGCAGAATGGGTTTGAAGTTCCCTCAAAAGCCATCCCCAGAGAACTGTCACCATTCAATCTACCGGGAAGCTCCCTGGGAAGGATCCATTCTCAGAGCTGGTCTTTGTCTGACCTGATTCAGAGCTTCTTGAGTCTATACAAACAGCTCCGTCCCCAGGGTGCTTGTCAAACACAATCTGTGGCAATTGTTTAACATCACAATCACCCAAGGCAAGAATACCTGTTGGAGATAAGAGTCTGACAAAAGCCTTAAAAAGAAAAACTAGGAAACTTCCAAAGGGGCCTTTGGAAAGCTCTGGCACATGCCTTGGCATCTTAGACGGCCAGGTGTGGTGCGAGGCTATGCCCACATCCAAAAAAGGTATGAGAGGCCAGTCACAGAAGCCTCACGTTTATGGTGTGATGCCTCTTATATGCAATGTTCAGGCAAATCCATAGAGACAAAAAGTAGATTAGTTTTAGACAGAGGCTGGGGGAAAGAAAAAATAAAGAGTGATAAATATGGCATTTCTTTCTTCACTGATAAAAATGTTCTAAAATTAGATAAGAGTGACCATTGTACAACTCTGTGAATATATTTTTAAAATACTTAATAGTACATATTACAAGAGTGAATTTTATGGAATGTTGACTTTACTTCAAAAAAACAGTTTTTTAGTAAATGAAAGGTACAATGTGTTTTCATCTGAGTTAGGAGACTTAGGAGCTGGTTATGAAAAACAGAACACTTCAAGCTTTCAGCACCTTAACCCACTCTTGTTACTTTAATTTTTGATCAACTTCTAGGTTATTCTATTGTGTGCCATATCATTTTTAACCTCAAAGCTCTAGGCTGGCCAAAGAGTTTTTCTCTTTCCTCAAAATTCAATTTACATTTAAATATTTATAAAAGATATAAGGCATAAAAGTGAAAATAAAAACCCGAATACAGAAAGCAACCTAGAAAAATCCCTTGCTGAAATATAGCATGAAATCTAACTATGGACCTTTTTCCTTGTCATTTTACAAGTGGTTTTCAAAATGCAACTAATGCAACTCCAGAAACAACAGACGCCACATCAAGCCTAGCTCACATTCACAAAGCCCCGCTCTGCTGCACGGTGTAACATGGGGCAGTGCTCTGGTTAAAAGTTTATGAACTGTATAATCCTATGCTATAGCATAATACTAAGCACCACCCCCCCGCCCCGAGGAAAGTCTATTTCCTAGTACCTTTTGCCAGGAGTTCTCCCCTCGGTTTTCTATCCAGGATATTTGGGTAGGACGGAATGTCTGGCTACTGTATTTTTGGACTGAAGTGGACTTAAATAGCTTTTACATATGCCTGGAATTTAAAATGACATTTTCATTAGAGAATAAGTGAAAACAGAGACAAGGCAAATTCTCTGCCAAGTGTTAGTACAGATACAAGGCATTAAATGATGCTTTAAATAAAATCGGTTAAATAAATATCAAGTGCAGAAGTGTGATTAGGCATTACTAACCAAAGTGATCAATCGGATACTAAAATTTTGAAGTGACTGTAGTTTATTTATTCACTCACTCAACAACTATTTTACTGATCACGGGCTATGATGCTATAAACAAAACAGACTACTCTTCTGCTCTCTCAGAGCTTAAAATTTGGACAGTAATGCTCCTGCTACTGCAAAGAAAGATATAAAATTAAATGAGGAAGCATGCCGTACTTGAAAGAGCACTGGCCTAGGAGTGTCAAGATCTGAATCTCAATTTCATGTCTAACGATTACTAGACAAGTGATGTTGGATCTGTCAGCCTAATTTCCCTAGGACTCAATTTTGTATCTTCAAAAAACAGTATATACTGCCTGTACAGGGTACCTCACCAGTTACTTTTATGAACAAAAGAGAAAATATTCAAACATGCTCTGAAAACTACCAAAAGCTCTACAAGAATAGGCTAGCCATAGTACCGAAGTGTATGAAAAACTATCAAATCCTTTGCAACAAACAATTTTGGTTAATACAGACCATCTATCGCGGGTCTAAGTGGTCAGCCAATGTAGCTCGATGCTGACAGTCAAGCACATGTACAACGTGGAACGACACGGATTCCAAAGTCTCGGCCTCTCTCCAGACACTCATTCTAATTTCACCTGGATTTCCTTTACATGTCAAATTACATTCACATTCTCAAACAAGGCTCCAGCCATAGGAAGAAAAAATGAGTCCAACAGACTTCCATCAGACTTCCAAACTGAGCAACAAGTACCATATGTTTCTTTACTCTTCAGAGTATGTGTTCGTCACCTCCACTTGAATCTAACAAATAATGGAACTTTCCAAATCGAGACACATCCACTTAGTAAAAGAAAATAACAATGGCTGTAATTGCAACCACATTAATTGGACTGAGTTTCTGCTTAAATTACTTTTGCACTTCTGATGGAAAAATAGTGTCCTTAAGAATAATGAGCTGCTGAAGTCATGACCAAAATATTAAAAACCTCAAAATTAAACTCAGGAAGAAAATAAATTTTACTTGGCATAATTCGGGTTTGCAGTCTTACTGTCAGGTAAAGAACACAAACCCGTATGAATCACTGGTGAACACCAAGCCTAAGACACAACTAACATCTCTTGGCGGTGTGTAAAACAACCGAATCCAAACCGTCTGTCTCTTGGGGCCAGAGAAACAGACTAATCCTCTGCTTTTCTTCAGACACTGGCAAGCATGTACCGTGATAGCTGAGGCTCAACTTGATCCTTCCCTTCCTGACTCAGAATGAAAATAAATACTCTGTCCTAGACCTCAGATGTGATTTCCCTTTGTGGGTTTTCACGAAGAGGGAGGGCCAAACAAGAAAATGATCGTGACCCTGGCTGGTGTGGCTCAGTGGACTGAGCACCAGCCTGCAAACCAAAAAGGTCCCAGGTTTGAGTCCCCGTCAGGGCACATGCCTGGGTTGTGGGCCAGGTCCCCCCACTTCGGGGCATGACAGAGGCAACCATACATGGATGTTTCTCAACCTCTCTTTCTCCTTCCTTTCTCATCTCTCTAAATAAATAAATAAATAAATAAATAAATAAATAAATAAAATGTAAGGTAAGAAAATGATCGAGGATGGTTGGGCTTGGTATAATTGTCAATCACACAACTTTGTTTTAGGAAAGAAGTAGAAAAGAAGACTCAAGACAACGGCTGAGAAGTTCGGACTATGCTTTATCAGTTCCGGTTATGTTTTACCAGTGCTGAGTCAGAGCTGAGGTTCTTTGGCATTTTCCGCGCAAATCCTCTCCCTCAGTGCCCTGGAAGCCTAGCAACTGTACTAAAAACTCTGAGGGGTATCAGGGAATAGCATCATGTTCCAGAACATATTGTCTGCCACCACCTAACTGACCCGGCCTCCACACTTTCTGTCTTTTCTCTCTTCCAGCTCTTTCATGGGAATAAACGACAAATCTCTCCAAGTGTCCTGGCATACAAGTTTCACACAAGCCATTTTCCTCAAGATGTGAGGACCTGTCAGTCACCAACATACACAATAAATTGCACAGCCAATAAAAGAAGGAGGAGAGTGAAGTAAGGGAACAAGAACACGTGGACAAGTCAGAAGCAAATTCGGGGGCAGCTCCTGTGAAATTACTGGGCATTCTGTTGTAGAACCTGATCCCTTCTACAAGGCATCAGTGACAAAGTAACTTAATTTACGTATAATTTAACTAGCTCAGAGTAAGTCACTTAAACCTCAAAGCAGAAACAAACTTTTAGAGGTAAACCACCACAAACTCAGTACCACGACACTGGGGCAAACAGCAAAAATTTCTCTGCCTCAGAAATGCTGAATGACACTGACGCACCTCCATGACTTACTCAGGTCCCTCTCTGCCTGCAGGTGGAGCCGAGGACACTTCGTGTTTAGGAACAGGGCACTCGCTAGACTCGAGGGGTGGTGAGTGGAGCTTTGCCTGTATAACCAGTACATGTCTGGGAATTAAAAGCATCTGTTGCCACACATAAAAATTTACCTGTGGGTTCCACAGACAGTAAAGGGCATGTGCAGTCAACACCTGCAGACTTACTTGTTTTCCTGGGACCTTGGTCTCCTGGATGAGAAGCATCTGTGGTCCAGGCTGGAATGTGTTGGTAAGGATGTGTAAGAGATGTCACAGTGCTCTCGTGATAAACTGTATTTGCAGAAAGAACATCAGGCACTTGAACTTCACCATCAGTGGCCATAGGTTCACTCCCATTTGATTTAAAATAGGCTTTTGGTAATGTTCCTGAAAGACAAAATAGTCATATATATTTTTTAAAACTTCCTAGAAGTATTCATTTTTAAAAAAACATATTAAGAAAACTCCAGAGCTACTTTCCCAAGCCTCATTCCATCCAGGCAAACACAAAGGAAGATGAGGGATAGCACAACTAATCAGTAGAGCTTCTCTTCGACACAAATCACACAACCCTGTGAATAAACTACTGCCTTCTCAGCGAGGTTTTCGGTACCTAAAGAACGTAGGGCTATTCCACCTCCCCAGACTCACCACAGTTTAAAAAAATGGGGTGAGTGTCACAGTGTTTCCCTCCTGCCTCTGTTTCTCAGTTTCACCCACCATTTTATGCGACTCAGCACCCAGGACACAGACTCTCCACATCTGTCTGCCACCAAAGGACACAATCGTGCCTCCTTTCTTCACACTTTGCAATAAATATCAGTGAACTATGCATAACACAAAAATAAAGATAATAGGTCTCATATATTTACCAGTAATTACATCATAGAAAAAAATATATTTAAAAAAGTGAAACTCTAATCTCAACAAAAAAGAAGGCACTAAATTTTCTTCATTGTAACCAGAAGGTATAAAATATAGTTACAAGAAATAAGAACTAGGCCCTGGCTGGTGTAGCTCAGTGGATTGAGCACATGCCTGGGTTGCAAGGCCAGTTCCCAGCAGGGGACACATGAGGGGCAACCGTACATTGATATTTCTCTCCCTCTCTCCTTCCTTTCCCCTCTAAAGATAAATAAAATCTTTAAAAAAAATAATCACTAAATTACGATGATCAACCAAATACCTTCCCATGGTAGTCATTCACTGGCACAATGAAGACTCAAACCTGACTGTTGGGAACCACCTGGCTTTGACTTTAGGCAGAAGCTTTTGAAAATTTTGAAAAAGATAATGTATTTTTAACTCAGCCAAAACAGACAACAGACTGTTTCCGGCGTACAGCACTGTACGCCACTAAAATAAATGAATGTGATATTGATCCGCTATAGAAATACCCAAGGGAAATTTTTTTCTAAAAACATTTACAGTGAATGCACTAACTGGTTCTCACTTTTCCAAACGGTCCATGGACTATTAAAAATAAAAGAAATATAAATAAAATGTTTAATATCAGCCTATGGAAAAAATTTCTCTGCATATGCTTGACACTTGGAAAACATTAACTACAAATCAAAATAGAAAAGCAGCTGTTTTCTGGCTAATGAAGGTCAACAGTTTCATCTGCCCAACGATTCTAAATAAAACACTGGAGCATGAAAGCTAAGTCGGGACCATGCGGTACAGGTGGGTCACTCTCCAAACCGTGTGATGTGAGTCAATAGCAAACGCCACAGGTGAAATGAGAGACCTCATTCAATTACTTTTTTAAATGAGGTAGTATTTATTCTGGATCAAAATAAATATGAGATAGACTAGCTTACTATATAACATGCACTTTATTCAAACAAAAATGTTCATGAATAAATTAGATATAATGTTATTTTCATCCATTTGTTAGTTTCTCTCTACTTGTTTTGTCAGAAAAGGGATTTTTTTTCACATAACATGTTGTTTCCATCAATGTGGCCGTAATGAATATACAAGGCCCATAAAGTTGATATATTTATCACTCCCCACGAATCGGCACCAGACTCTGTCAACAAACAGACTTTTACCAAATGCCAATTCCTCATAGTTATGACCCTGAGTAATTCACTTAAAAGGAGATCCTTATTGTATAAAATATCCACAATTGTTCTTAACATTTTGTTTGTAGAGATTAGCCTTATTAATAATCTTTCCCTCATCTTTTTTACCTAACCACAGTGGTGAGTGGTAATAATATGTGGTTACTCTTGCAAGTCCTTCAAAACACCAACTTTCTTAGTTAACACTGACTTAGATAACTTTCTGAACATAAATAAATAAAGGCAGTTTTCTTACTCTTCAAATCTATGAATAAAGCAGCTTGGCAGAAGAGAAAGATAATATATGATATATGATAGTTGTTATAGCTAATGTTCCTAAAAAATGTTTTTGAGAGAGAGGAGGAAGAGACATACGGATAAAGAACAAGCTGGTGTGTAAAAGCCTGAACTCACTAGACAATTTTTCATCTCTGGAAAGTGATCATCTCTCAACTCACACTTAGTTGTCTATTATGCATTTTTTAAAGAGCACAAAAACGAGAACTCAGTAAGACTACATACTCTCAAGCTATACCATGATGAGCTATAAAAGTGCTGAGTTATTAGCCCAAAGTCCAGTGTTCATTCTTCGAAATTCCTATTTTTATTGTGCTGTAGCTAAAAGTACAGGTTCTACAGCCTGACCCCTGGGCTTAAATCCCATTGCTAGCACTTAGTGTCCCGAAACTTTGTGCAAACTCTCAACTGCCATAAAATAAGAAAAATAAAAATACCTCCCTTCATGGGGCTGGTTGTTAAAGTCAAATTGGTCAATGTATAAACATGTGAAATAGTTCCTGGCACACAGTAAGTTCTCAATAACTATCAGTCTTTACTATACAACAATAGTAATGAAAGTAAAATTGTCTCCCTTAGGGCTATAAAAGTACTTTTAAATAAATACCGATTTCATTTTACCAACAGAGCAAAATGGCCAAGAAAGTTTTCAAAACTGAATCACTTAACCCACTCTGGAAGTGAGACGGTGGCGCTCTCTCCTGCTAAATTACAAGTGGAACACCACATGATACCAAGATTGTATGGCCCAGAGGGTTTCAGCTCTACTTCATGGTGTTGGAGAAGCTGTCTACAATTCCAGTAACGATAGCCACGCTGCGCCAGTCACTACAGTGAGCGGACAGAGCACTGGGATTGCAACACGATGCTGCCCAGAGGTGTCCACATCCTGGGAGTGTGTTTCCTCACACACCTTGCCTGGCAAAAGGGGTGTTGCAGATGGAATTGAAGGACTTTGAGATAGAAAACTTACCTTGGATTATTTATTCAAGCTCAGGGTGCTTATAAGCAGAAGAGGGAAGTGAGAGGGTGTGCACCAGAGCCATTTAGTGTGAGAAAGATTCAATGGGCCATTGCTCATTTTGAAATTAGGAAGGGGCCACAAGCCAAGGCATACAGGAAGCCTCTAGAACTAGAAAAAGTAGGGAGCAGAGGGTCTCCTAGGGCCCCCCCAAGAGGAACACAATACAACCGACATGTTAATTTGGGCCCCGGGAAACCTATTTTGGACTTCTGACTTCCAGAATTCTAAGGTAATATATTTGTGTTGTTCAAAGCTACCAAGTTTGTGATAATTTGTTACAGCGGCAATAGGAAACGAACACTTTGCTAAGTATCCTCACAATAAGCTTCTACTGAATTAGTTTTCCAAGAATACTGTGAAGCAGGTGCCGTAACTCTTCTTCACAGAACTTCAGAGAGAAGGAAACAAACTTATAAGAGTCCTTTAGCTTACCCAAGAATTGAGTTCAGACACAATACACACACACACACACACACACACACACTCTTCTCATTTTGGATAAGGTACACAGGTTAAAAAAGTCAAACAGCAGCCTTGACTGGTGTGGCTCACTTGGTTGGGCACTGTCTCGCAAAGTGAAAGGTTGCCGGTTTGATTCTCAGTCAGGGCACATGCCTGGGTTGTGGGCCAGTCTCTGGTGGAGGTGCATGCAGGAGGCAAGTGATTAATGTTTCTTTCCCTCTCTTTCTCCCTCCCTTCCCCTCTCTCTAAAAAATAAACAAATAAAATATTTTTTAAAAATCCACCACCACATGCGTGTAAACAAATTTATCTTCTGTGGGTTTGAAATCAATTCTTATGTCTATATCTCTAGCCATGTGGTAACACATTTACTTCACATTTCCTGTGTGCCAGGAACTTTGTATTTACTCCCTGCTGAGAACACAACATCCAGTGAGAAGTACTTGTCACCAGATGTTTACAGATTGAAGGAGACAGCCATGTGGTCTAAGAATACAAACCATGCTACAAGTGCTTTGAGAGTGATCTGCAGAGGACATATGGTGACCAAAAAATAGAGAAGTAGCTGTTATTCCATTTGGAAAAGTCAGGAAAGTTTCCTTAGAGAAGGATCCTTGATGTGAATCTTAAACATGATTAGAGATTTTCTAAGTTTGAGCAAAGCATTTGTTGGAAAGAGAGAGGTGAGGTATGGTAATAAGGGAAGCAAGAACTTTCTAGACAGAGAGAGGTGGAAACAATATGCAAAAATTGAACAGCAAGTGATTAGGCACCGCTAGCACACCGGGGACTGGCAGCAGAACATCAGAGAGGTCGGGAGCCAGGCTGGAGAGGGCAGTTCTTGTTAAAGGGTAGAAACTGATCTTGTGATGGCAAACTTCCAAAGGATCCCAAGTAGGGTGGGATGCTAGAAGGATCATCTCAAGCCTGGAGAATCATCAGAAGGCTACTGCAACCATCAGAAGGCTATCAGCGAGGATCAGGAGAACAATTGGGAGAAAACTTCCCGAGACAAAATTGTGAGAACTTGAGGAAAGGGTCAGCGGTCCCTTCAAGGTTTCAGGTTTGAATTACTGGGTAAATGAAGGCACGCCCCAAATAAGATAGAGGTGGTAGTCATTAGTACTCTTCACCAAATATGTTCAATGCTCTCCCATTCCACTAGGACACAAGCTTAGGTCACATTCTCTGGCCTGTCTCATCCCCTGACATCTTTGATGTTGGTCAAAGGGTACAAACTTCCAGTTACAAGATGAGCAAGTTTGGGGATCTAAGGTGCAGTAAGGTAATTATAAATAATAATAATAATAATAACAATACACTTTTTAAAAAGGAATACCTTCCAATGCTCTTTCTCTCTCTCTGTAGCACAACAACCACAAACATTCATCATCAGTTCACTCCCTGGATGAGCTCGGTGACAAGGCACATCCTCCCCGCCCTCCACCATCTCACAAAGGGCAGGTGGCATGAGTGCAAAACTGACCTTTGTTGTACTCACGTCACTAGGGTTTGGGGATTATTACAGTGTAGCA